CAAGCAAGCAGGTGTTCAGCCATACTTAGCTCTTTGACATTAAAAGAAATTTCTAATCACTGTTCTTTTAAAGGTGTAGATAAGTTTAACAGAATAAAATCTAAGGCTGCAAAATGAGCTGTTAAACCACAATCTATGAGAATTAGAATTTTCCTGATAGTGTGTAAGCAGATAAAATTGGATTCTGAGATTGAAAACAGTGCATTTATCCATACTCCACTGTTGATTCATCAAAAAAAGCCACAATCTTTTTTTTAAAGATTGGCACCTGAGCTAAAAACTGTTGCCAATCTTCCTTTTTTTTCTTCCCAAAGCCCCCCAGTATACAGTTGCATATTCCAGTTGTGAGCGCCTCTGGTCGTGCTATGTGGGACGCCGCTTCAGCATGGCTTGGTGAGCGGTCCCATGTCCGCCCCCAGGATCCCAACCGGCGAAGGCCTGGGCCGGTGATGCCAAGCATGCGAACTTAACTACTCGGCCACCGGCCGGCCCCTGTTTTTTGTTTTTTTTAACTGAACGACTTTTTTCGGTTTGGTATATTGCAAAGTCTCATTATTTTATTTGACAGCATTCCACAGCTTTATAAGATGTTTGAACACTAATTAAAACCTGATATGCCTTCAAACAAGGGTAAAGCCAAGTCATAAGATTTGGCTGGGTTTTTTGATAGTCTATCCCAGGGTTCAAAAAAAAAAAATCACTCAAAATACGCTCTCTTAACTGTCTCCTTCCTAACAAGTCTATTTTCTCCCAAACTCACATTGCTTCCTACAAAAGCCCTAGAATTGCCATTTAGGTTTCAGCATCAATGAACAAAGAATCAAATCAAGAAACACTTCCAGGTTCCTTGATCAAGTCCAGTTTTTGCAGACGTTTTTCCCTTCGGCCGAACACTGCACCCCCACCTTATCCATCCTTTAGTTCTCAGGTAAAAGTCATCCCTTGCAGTAAACCTTCTGAGTTTCTCAAATCTCAATGAGTCTTTTACTTCGTGCTCCCAAAACACCTGGCACTCAGCAATCAAGCAGAACCCAATTGTCTCAATGGTCTTTGTTGCCCGAGCACCTTGCATGCAGTAGCGCAACAAACGTTTGTTAAATAAATAATTGAAAACAGATATTAAATCATGTCACTATCTCCATTTTGTAAAAATCATAAGGATTAAAGATAAACTCTGCTAATTATTCATTTTATAAATGAGGAAAGTAAGGCACGGAGAGGGAAATTAAGTTGCCCAAGCTTCCAAAATTAGTAAATGACAACAAAAATAGAACCTGGGACTCCTGAGTCAGGAGTTATTTGCACTGTACCACGCCGCCCCCATTTACATTCCAGGTCCTATTTGACACAACCCACATCGGGCAAACTAAAATGTTCAGTGTAAAGAATTTATGGAAAGACAATTTGGCTTGCCCCTTCTCTCCAGGATCTATGAGGAAACTGGCTCCCGGACAGTCTTACAGGTCCAATTATCACGGATTTGGCGTTCTCCTAGGAAAAAGGGCCCCATCGGCCGACTGTGGAGCATGACACCTTATTCCAGAAGCTAAATTATAAAGCCGCAGGTCAAAACCCCGCGCCTGGATACCAACAACAGCCCTTTTATCACATTACTTCACTCATCAACTTTTTAGTCCTCCCCGCTTCCCCGTTCACTCAGCCAGAGCACATCCCAGAGCTCCTTCCCGCCTCGGACCCAAACTGGTCTTACTGCAGGATCTCCTCGCTGACATCCAGGCCGAAAGTTTTCTGCAACTGCTGGGTGCACCAGCCCACCAGCTGCTCCCGGGACGCCGCCCCAGCCACCGCCATCTTCCCCGGCCGGAACCAGCTGGGCTGCAAAAGCCCCGCGTCCCGCGCCGGACTAGTCCCCTTCGCAACACCGACCTCGCTAGCGCGGGTTCCGCCAGCCTGCACCGCCCCGCGCGGTCGCACCGCCCTCAACACAGATCCCTCCCACCTCCGCCTTCCCACTTCCGGAATTCTTTTCGATTGTACCACAGCTCAATCTGCGTGTGATTCTTCCGCGTCGTACGATTTAGGATTCGAGATCTGGGAATTCTGCTAAGACGCTACAAATGCCTGTAGAAACTACAGTTTAGGAACAAAACAAAACAATACCCCGTAACCTGAGGGGCCAGCTTTTAAAATGTTCTGGTTTAATGTAAAACATTTAAAAGAGCGCCTGGAAGCTAGAGTAAGCGCTGTAAGCATTTGCTCTGGTAGTAGTGGTTTTATTAATGTTCCCTGTGTTCTAATACTAGATTCATTCTACTAAAACCTGTTTCCTTTTAATTTTTTGAGCCAGGTCTGTTCCAGGAGGGCCAAGACAACTCAGTAAGCTCGAGGAGGGGAAAAAACCTTAATAAAACATGTGCTGGGATTTGGCTTTGAAGACCTTCCACATGAATTCTCTGTAGTGATTTTTAAGTTAAAGGTCTTTCAACCCAAGATGACTAGATTTAAGGGAGTTTTGCTACTTCCTACTCCACTGGTACAACGGACTAGGGAAAATTTAGCAAGACTTTTCTGGAGAGCATAATATTTTTGACATTTTTCATCAATAAATTTAATTAGCTGGCTTTGTGTTTACATTTACAGGTTCTTTATTCCCATTAGGCTATTTAGACTACGTAATTATGCTAATGGAATGCTGTTTCACCTTTTTATGCTGATATTTTCATTGACATAAATAATCAAAATCATCTAAGTGTATTGAGTGTAGATTGTCTTTGTTATTAGTTTGGAAAATATGATTTTCTAGCTTTAAAAAAATACTCTGGATGTTCATTGGTTGGGTACATTCATTTATTGAGTACACATTTTGTTTCTTCATAAAAATCCACTACCTTTAATACTAATTTTAAGTATCTAAATCGTTTACCTGTTTCTGTATCTGTTTAGTTCTCATAACTAAAATGTTAATTTTTTTTACTTATTATTTATTTTTTGAGGAAGATTAGCCCTGAGCTAAATGCTGCCAGTCCTCCTCTTTTTGCTGAGGAAGACTGGCCTTGAGCTAACATTCGTGCCCATCTTCCTCTACTTTATATGTGGGATGCCTGCCACAGCATGGCTTGCCAAGCAGTGCCGTGTCCGCACCTGGGATCCCAACCGAGAACACCAGGCCACCAAAGCAGAATGTGCACACTTAACTGCTGTGCCACCAGGCCAGCCCCTAAAATGTTAATTTCTTGAAGACAGACTACGACTTTTTTTGTGCAATAGGACTCAGTACATCATACATATTATGATGAAATTACTAGAGCCTCCAGAATAAAAATATTCTTTTTCATAAAGCATACGTTAATGATTGCAATCTCCAGTTTGTAATGTAATGTAATGTAATGACATTTACAATCATTATCATTTATTAAATGCATTTCTGCCTAAGCAAAGCAAGCATACCTATTTAACATGACTTAAAGATATTCTTTTCTATAAATTTAGGCAGAAACTTCATTCATACATACTACAACTTTTCTTAATTCCCTAGCCCTTTGAAATTTTCAAGTTCACACCACACAGCTCTATTTTATTTAACTGTAAGGGGAGGCACTTTTGCAAAGCAAACGTTTAAATTAAGACTTTTTACTAGGCATTACTGCCTTTTTCCTAATTTTTTACTCTAACATGCATCCTTTTCTATCATAATTGGTATTAAAAAGACAAACATACAAACACAGTTATAGTAATATGTAGACTGCCTCTGTGTGCAAAGGTATACATTCTTGCAATTCTTTCTAGCAATTTACTTGGCACGTGGACTAGGAGGAAGGACTGGTGGATCCTCCACTCAGGTGTAATCTCTGCAGTCATCTGGCATATGAGTTCTAATTCTTAATTCAGGCTTTATAGAAGCCACTTTAACTGAAAAGGAAATAATGTGCATTGAAGGAACGATTGAGAGGGACATGATGACAAAGAACAAAGGAACACCCTGAGGCTTATTGATTTTTCTAGTAGGAATTTGGCTGTAATCTTAGACTCCAAGGTTTAGACAAAGCTACAGATAATTTCCAATACACTTCCTGCTATTATAATGTTAATTTAACCTATTGTCTAGATTCTTTAATTCTAAAACGCAGAGTAGTTGTTGATTCTGTTGAAGAACTGAGTAGCCTATTTTCCCGGAAAGTTCAAGCATAATTTATTGGAGAGAATCAATGCTGTGCTTATGCTTTCACGGTTGTCTTTAAGGTGAGCATTTAACAAAATACATCGCAAGTCAAGCTCATCTGATCATGTTTTATGCACGGTATTCAGAGAGTGAAAATCACTCCCCAGTGGTATTGTTAATAATTAGAAGGTAGGCATAGGGATAGAAAATAGTTAAGAGCTCCTATTCTAGAGTTATGCTCACTGTGTGCCAGGCATGTACCCTTAGCACATTTAGCATATTTTTTTTAAGAAACTCTGAGACCATAGCAGTCTAAGGAAGACGTTTTATTAATTTGTTTCTTTTTATGTGTGTATCTATATACCATTCACTCAGTTTTTTCTTTAGTTTCACATCCTAAAAACGCAGAAAAGTCCTGTAAATAAATTGTGTTTGCTTCCTTTTCTCCCATTTCATAGAATTGTTATGAACACTGCAGAGAGAGTTCATGCCCGTAGTATTAAAATTCACTTTATTTTGATTTGCAACAGAAAGTCCGCTTCATTTCAGGTTTCACTTCCAGGATTCAATCATTATGGATTTAACCTTGTGGTAGGTAACTTTTGAAGAAATGTTGGCTTTCGCTGTCTCTCCTGGGTTTTCCTTTCTAAGCAGGCCGATTTCCCTAGTTTAGAATCTTGGCACCCACACATGGGGCCCCAGGAAAGCGCCCTGGCACCGCCCACCTGGGGCGGGTGCGAATCACAAGCTTCTGTAAGTTGATGGACGGGTCAGCGCTTCACCAAGCCTCCCCGCTGTCATCACTGGACACTGGCGATTGGTTGCGGGGGAACGGCGCGGAACCAATGGGAGCGGCGGTCCGGGAGAGTCCCTGGAGCGCGCGGGAAAGAGACCAATTTAAACTGTGGCGGGAGATTGGTTTTCGGCTCCTTGTCCCGCTAAACACCCGCGGCTGAAGAGTCAATTGGTTGCTCTCATCTCCTCGCGTTTGAACATGGTGCGGACTAAAGCAGACAGTGTCCCAGGCACCTACAGAAAAGGTGAGGCAGTCGTGCACGGTAGTGGAGGATACGGGGTTCTCTGGGTAGCCCGGCTGAGGGCGGGAGAGGCCGGGTCTCTCTACCGCCTTGTTTGCCTCACTGCTTCAGCCGGCCAGCAAGCAGCGGGGACGGGGGAAGGTTACCCTGCTGTTCTGGATTGCGGGGCTCTCCTCTCCAAGCAGCTGGCATAGGGACTGTGGTGAGAACGTAGCTACTGGGACTCGGTGTCGGAACCTTACTGCCCTCTTCTAAACGCCCTCCTTTGCCTCTCTCCTCAGTGGTGGCTTCTCGAGCCCCCAGGAAGGTGCTTGGTTCCTCCACCTCTGCCACTAATTCCACGTCGCTTTCGTCGAGGAAAGGTAAAAAGCGCCTCTGCAAGCTCCTGGAGGAACCCTCTCAAAAGGGGATGAGGCTTGGCACTACAGTTCTCCCGATCTGCGAACCCCCTGACCCACCGTGGAATTTGTTTTCCTAAGATCCTCACGCCCCAATTTCTTCCTTGCCCTTAATAAAATGAGGGGGCCTTGGCCTCTTGGCGAGCTCGGGTAGAAGTGTGGGTCACATGGAAAGGAATCTCGAGCCTAGGGGTTAGGGACGGATACAGTTTATCTTCAAAACTATTTTTCTTTTTCTGGTTTAGCGTTTTCATTTTTCTTACTGTTGACAGATGGCTTTTTCTTGTAAGAGGCCATTTAAGCGCCCCTTTACTAGATTAAGAACTAGGACGGTAGTTAACAGTGCTAATCACGTTATCTTCTTAGTGTAAACGTTTTTGTTTTCACTTCTGTATGTTTTTCTTTCCTTCTTTCTTTTTCTTTTTTTCCTTCTTTCTTTCCTTTTTTTTTTTTAGAGTGTGCTGTCTGTGTGTTTTCCAACTTTGCAGCTCCTGATTCTGCCTTTAGGACATTAGGAGGGGAAAATCAGGTCAGGGAAATAGCTTCACACAGCTCCTTCTGTGCAAGGAGAGGTTGAGAAAATACCGTGCCATCTGGTGCCTCATTCCTTTCAGTAGGAAATTGAGCAGTTGGGAAGATTAATTCCACTAGGTCTAATTAAGAACATACAGTGGAGCACTGTTAAGGACTTCATGGGTTTTTAAGTTAACGCAAACTTCCCCCTATTTAAAACATTTCATTAGAAATATTTACTATTTCATTCTCTTTAGATGAAAAGGAATAGTAGTTTAAAATGTTGAAAGTAGATGAATTTATTGGGAATATCATACCCTGTACTGCTAGACTAAATTCCAAGTAGGGCCACATCCCATTGTCTGGTCTACTATTGAATCACCAGAGTCAACTGAATAGATCCTTAATGAATGAAATGTGTTGGACAAATGCATCCATTAAGGCATTTTACAGATCTCTATTTTTAATCAATAACCAACTGTATGAAATTGGAAATGTCCTCATTTTAAAGATGAAAAAGTTTACGCTTGTAACTTGGTAAAGGTCACACAACTAAATCAGCAGAGCTGGGTTTGAATCCTGTGCTGAAGTCTGTTGCTGCTATATACTTTGTAGTGGAGAAATCATTCTCATAAGGTTCCTTCGGGAAAATTATGAACCGAAGGATCATTATTTTTTAAAGGCTATTTGTACTTTTTAAAAATTACAAGCAATATAATTTCAGACAGTATATATGGAAGCAACTTTTATGTTTTCTTTAACTGCTAGAGTTTGTGACAAATGTGTTTAAAGCAAAAGATACATGTAGTAACAATAATTTGCTCCTCTTGGTATTCCAATCATTACTTTATAAAGGGGCAGGAATTTTCCCTCAATTTTTCCTTTATATTACTATTTTAAAATAATCAGGAATTGGATTTACCTTGTGAACTGAAACGGAGCCAAGTACTTTGAAAAGTGGAACCTATTTTTGCGGAAACTTGCACATTACTGTATGTATACTTGTTTTGCCTTCTATATGTCCTTTAAATGACCTTATTAAGTAAAAATTTGGCAGTTTATACTACATGATGCTACTTTATATTAGGAAAAAGTGTGTCAAATTTTAGTATGATAGTACATAAGACTATGTGGTGATGTGAATAGCTCTGCTTGTGGACAAAATATGAAAAATATTTTCCAGTTGTAAAAACTTTGTTAAAACTGTTTCTCTAGGCTAAAGGATAACTATAATAAAGTATTATTATACATTATGTATAATAATGTATAATGTACTATTGACTGAATACAGCTTTATCATGTCACATTTTCTAATTCTTTAAGATGGATGTAATACCATTTAATATCCTTTAGATTTGATGTTAAAGAATTATGTTTCCCTTTAAGGAATGGTGACTATATTCTTAGTTCTTAATTAGTTCCATCTGTTTATATTTTATAGCTGAAAATAAGTATGCAGGAGGAAATCCAGTTTGTGTGCGCCCAACTCCCAAGTGGCAAAAAGGAATTGGAGAATTCTTCAGGCTGTCCCCTAAAGATTCTGAAAAAGAGAATCGGATTCCTGAAGAGGCAGGAAGCAGTGGCTTAGGAAAAGCAAAGAGAAAGTAAGTTTTTATATTCTGGAATATAAAGAAAATACTTATATTCTTGAAAATACAAGACAATAGAATATTGAGTAATTTTAAGGTTTCTCCTTGAGAAGATAAGAAAATACAAACCAGAGGTTTTTTCAGCTTGTGCTAATCTTATTATAAGTCACTCTCAAATTTCAAACATCAATGAAAGGTATTATTTTTACTCATTCCAGTCACTCAGAGAGGATCAGTTACCATTTAGATAAGTGCTACATTATTAACCGTGAACTTCTTGTCTTTATTCTTTAATTTTTATTGTCTATTTTCTATACCCTTTTTTTTTTCCCAAAAGCAATTTCCATGTTGGTTTATCTAGCTTGAATTCCATTAAGCCTGTGCCCCCAAAAAACTACTAGTTCAACCTCCATAAGAAATATATAACCAATGTAGAGGCCCGCCCAATGGTGCAGCAGTTAAGTTCGCACATTCTGCTTCTCAGCGGCCAGGCGTTTGCCAGTTCGGATCCCAGGTGCCGACATGGCACTGCTTGGCAAAAGACATGCTGTGGTAGGTGTCCCACCTATAAAGTAGAGGAAGATGGGCATGGATGTTAGCTCAGGGCTAATCTTCCTAAAAAAAAAAAAGAAATATATAGCTAAGGTAGAAAAGTTGTAAAGTACAGAAATCTCCACCACTTAAAAACAATCAAAACTAACACCAAGGTGTATTTTCTTTACAACTTCTCTATAAATATGTAAGAATACTTCAAAACAAAACAAGGTGAGGATAAAACTGCACACATACTGAGTTCAGGTGCAAGCTTTTTACGATAAATCAAGCTTTAAGCTTTTAATGTCAGTAAAATGCTTACAGTAAAATTTTTTTTTTTTTCTGAGGAAGATTAGCCCTGATCTAACTACTGCCAATCCTATTCTTTTTGCTGAGGAAGACTGGCCCTGAGCTAACATCCATGCCCATCCTCCTCTGCCTTATAAGTGGGACACCTACCACAGCATGGCTTTTTGCCAAGTGGTACCATGTCCGCACCCGGGATCTGAACCAGCAAACCCCAGGCTGCCGAGAAGCCAAACGTGGGAACTTAACTGCTGCACCACCGGGCCAGCCCCATGCTTACGGTAAATGTTAAGCAGAAATTTTGGATATGAAAGTACAATCTTTATTGTATAAAAGATATGGATATAAATATACCAAATGTCTGTATAAAATATACCAAATATCAATAGTGATTATCTCTGGGAAGAAATCTCTCAGGGCCAGCCTGGTGGCATAGTGGTTAAGTTTCTGCACTCCTCTTTGGTGGCCCGGGGTTCATGGGTTTGGATCCCGGGTGCTGACCTACACACAACTCATCAAGCCATGCTGTGGTGGCATCCCACATACAAAATAGAGGAAGACTGGCACACATATTCTCTCAGTGACAATCTTCCTCAAGCAAAAAGAGGGCCAAGTTAGCTCAGGCCCAATCTACTTCACAAAAAAACACAACAAAACAAAACAAAACTCTCCTCATACTCAGTGTTACCAACTTTCAACAACAAACATACTTGTTTTTTGAAGAATGAGGAAAAAAATAATGCCACTTATAATAATGCCAAAGGCAATGGAAACTTGGTTGTTTCTTCCTCCCCTTTTTTTATACGTTTATAAGTAATATGGTCCAGGGTCTCTAAACAACTTTGAAATATTTTGTTTTAAAAGCAAATTATTTGACTAGGGGCCAGGAGTGGTGAGCACAGGTGGGTGGGTAATGCCACGTCACTGCCATTATGATGCCCCCTATTTAAGACCCTGCCAGCTACCTTCCCCACATCAGCTAGAAGCCTGTGATCATCAGCGCACCAAGCGGCAGGCCTGACCCAAGATACAGTGACCAACATTGCCAAGGAGATGGTGGCCAGCCTCAGTATGCGGCTGCTACTTCTGGTGCTACTTCTACCCACACAGATTTATACATTCGTTCCTCTAGTCAGCACGCCAGAGCCACCATGGGAAACCACAACAAGAACAACAGCAGCCAGCTGTGCTGTGCAATTAACAGCCAGTCTCCTTGTGATCTTGCTTGCCCTTCTACATCTCTACTGTTAAGAGACTTAGGCCAAGAAACATCTACAGTTCACCAACCCATATTCTAAAGCCCACTCCGTATGGCATCTAGGAGGAAAGTGTGGCAAGGGACAAACAGGTCTTCATAAAATCTACTAATTACTGATCTTTTAACACAGAAAATGTTTAGAGTCTCAAATTGGACTGGTTTAAAGAGCATCTGAAGGATTTGAATGCCGATATTAAATCTGGAGTTTCATGCACAAGATTGAAGAGACAACATCAAAAATTAATGACATGATTACATGTAGCTTAAGAAATATAGACATTTAAAACTCTGCCTTGAAAACAAGAATAATTTCACCTTGATCTAGAGAAAAAGGATGAGCTGTGGAATGGAGACTCGGTTTTCACTTTGGTTCATTAAATCTAGAAGGCTGTAAAATGATTAGGTAATATATAAAGTTTCTGTGATTCTATTTATGTGTACATTGAAAGGAACCACTAGGTGTTACTGTCAATCCTCTATGTATTATTTCAGCAGTCCTAATTCAGTGCTGATATACTCTATTATGTAAAGTTTTACATTGTTTTCACTGTTCTCTTGGGAACTTAATTCTTTCCTCTGGGGCTTTGGATATGACATTGCATTTGACTTTATGTAGTAAGTGACATGTGCCAGGGCAATGATGGATTGGAATCTACTACAAATCCAAGTATGAGCAATTCTTGTATTTACACTTAAAAGTCAAATGACAGGTACTTCCTATCACACTTTCCCATCCAACGAGTGTAAGATTCATTTAGCTAACTTGGATCACTTGATTCAGAGATTAGACGTGTATTGATTTCAACCAATCTTTAAATACTGCTTTTTATTTCTGCATATGGTGAATAATTTTTAAAACTTAAAAATCGATCTGTTTTGAAGGCATATTTGACAAATCTTAAAATTAAGAGGCAAATATATGAAGAAGGCATATATAATGTATAGTAACTATTTGGGAAGTGAAGACTGGAAACTTGCCTGCATTACATTCACAATACTTTTGTGCTCATTCTGTGAATATTAAAAAAAACCTTTATGAATCAGAATAGCTACATTTGGAACACTTTCTATGTCAGTCAATATTTTTAGATAGTTAGAACCTGTCCTAAACCTAAGTGGACTTGATTTTAGGAAGTAAAACTTCTTCAACTGCCTTGAAGTATAGAAACCTTTTCAGAAATAGATAATCCATGAAATCTTTGGTTTACAAATCTTCATGTTCACACACTGATGCTTAGATGTTACAGTATCCAATATGGCCACAGTACTCTTAATCCAACATTTACCACCTTTAGAAACCCACACAGGAACAACCAGATCCAATAGATCTCAAGCTATATGAGATCCGTGTATGTAAATGAACACTCCTTTTTGCTTCATATCTGAACATTGGACATCTGTTTTGGATTGTGCATTGTGTTTGGAATTGATTTGCACTGAACACAAGCTAAATAAAAATAAATGGTTGAAAGAGCAATTAATACAAAACGTTTGACATGTAAAGTGATGTTTATGCATATAAAATTTTAAGAATTATTCAATACTGTTCATAAAGTCATTTAGTAAATGGTTATTGAGTGCCTACTATCCATCTTAGGAGATATTTAAGAGGAATGGCAAACTCTGGGGCAATAAGTAAATTTTAGACTTTGTTGCTATATCACTATTATGATTTCTGGTTTCAATAAAAAACAACCAAGGGGATGCATTTTGGATAGAGCCTTTTAATAGACTTGTTTTTATGATCTTATGTCTCTTTTAGTTCCCTCTCATTGTCTGGCATCAATCTTCCTTGTTCTTTCTCTTTCTACTATGAATAAGCTAGTAGTCAATATTAGCTCTAGAATATATTACAGTCCTCTTGAATTATTTGTGACTTCCATTAAGGAAACAAAATATTTGGCAATATAGCCAAATATAGCTATACCATTGATCATCATAGCAATAAAACGCATATTACAGGCTTTCCACCATATGGAGAAAGATTACGCATATATTCTCATAAAGAACTTTGATCCATGGTGTAATAAAATCTGTGACATAAAACTAGCTAATAGAGGGGCCGGCCCCGTGGCTGAGTGGTTGGGTTCGCGTGCTCCGCTTTGGCGGCCTGGGGTTTCGCTGATTCGGATTCTGGGCATGCACATGGCAGCACTCGTCAGCCCACACTGGGGCGGCGTCCCACATGCCACAACTAGAAGGACCCACAACTAAAATATACAACTATATACTGGGGGGATTTGGGGAGAAAAAGCAGAAAAAAAAAAGAAGATTGGCAAGAGTTGTTAGCTCAGGTGCCAATCTTTAAAAAAAAAAACAAAACTAGGTAATAGAGGTTTATATTATTCCTTTAGGTCCCTTTCTTAGATTTGCCTTTGTTTAAGAGAGGCGTAATTACTCCTTTATAGATAGTAAATCAATAGATTTTAGATATTGATAGTAAATAGTAAACTCTCAGTTTATAAGAAGGACTTCTGCTAAAATTCTATAACTCATAATCTGAAATATGGCTACTCCTATGGCTTTATTTTTCTCACAAAGGCAAACTCCCATCAGTTGCATGCGGGAGAGTCAGAATCAAGAAAGACTACTTAAAACCTTGAAAAGAACTATGGTACCTCAAGTAAACCAGGTCCTCGCAAAAAGGAAGTTTGGGTCGTGATAGTTTAGTGTTCATTTGTTAACTTGATTTAATGTCCAGGAAAATACAATGAAGACCTCTTGGTAATCTAATACTAGGTGAGTCAATGATACTCTGATATCAAGTCAGAATACCTTCGTTTTAGCTTCCTTCTTTCACTACCTAGTTCTATGACCATCCTGGGTTATGGATGTAATTTGAAAACTGATTATTTTAGAACAGATCTCACAAATCCTCATTAGCTCTAAAAAAAAAATTCTGATATATGAGTACGTTTTTAATTGACTATAAAAAAAGGTAATAAGTACAAAATCGCTTTGGGATAATATAAATTATTTTTCAAAATTTATGACTACCATATGCCAACTTAAACAATTTTGGGGTTTTTCTAATCAGGTAATACATTCATATGGTTCAAAAGGGTATACAGACAAATATGACAACCTGCAATGTTTTTTTCTGCTCAGGTGGGTTGGTTAATTTTTTTTGCTTTTTATTATCACAAAGTTCTTGCTGAAGGATTATACTCTGTTTATCAATCCACTTATGTGGAAAGAAAATGCTATAGAAATACAGATTCCCTTTTTAATGAAAATGACAACATATTTTAAAGGAGAAACACTTTATTCAGCAAATTAACAGGTAAAATAAATTGTTAAAAATTTTGTTGGGGCTGGTCCTGTGGCCTAGTGGTTCAGTTCTCGCGCTCCGCTTCGGTGGCCCAGGGTTTCGCTGGTTTGGATCCTGGGCGTGGACATGGCACCGCTCATCAAGCCATGCTGAGGCGGCATCCCACATGCCACAACTAGAAGGACCCACAACTAAAAATATACAACTATGTACTGGGGGGCTTTGGGGAGAAAAAGGAAAAAAATAAAATCTTTAAAAAAAAATATTTTGTTGTTCTAGTACTTGTAATTTGTAGGTGTTTGACAATTAATGGGGTTTAATTTTTTCTTATTTCTAGGCACTTGACCAGACCACTGCACTGTTAGTTAATGTTCCTGATTTATACAAGTTTGTAACTATTTTTGTTTTGTTTTTTTAAACAGTTGATACTAGGGTGACTACTGAAGTTCTCTGTTCTTTCCACAGAGCACGTCCTTTGCCACCTGATGACACAGATGACGAAAAAGAATAGAACTATTTTATTCATCCTTGACTCACGTCTCCTGTTTACTCTGGTATTCTGGGATGTAAATTTGCATAAATGTATTTGTTCCAATTAGCTTTGTTCAATAGGCATTTAATTTAAAAAATGAGGCTTACATTTAGTTATTCAAAAGCAAGTAGTTACGATATTGGTGAGTTTGTAAGATTAATTATGGTTACTTAGCTTAGTACTGAATATAATGCAGTATTTGGTTTCTTTTACCTGTTACTAAGCTCCTTGTACTTGCTAAAAACAAATCATTGCATGGTGTTCTAATTATGAATCTGCTGTATTTGAGATTTGTTTAGATCTTTGTACTGCTGCCATGTTTATTGGCATTTGATTATTGGAATGGTGCCATATTTTTGTTCCTTTTCTTTGCTTTAAAAAGCAGAGTTAGATTTTTTGCACATTAAAAAAATTCAGTATTAATTAAACTGAACCTACACCTTTTTTAAGAAAGGGGGCCAATGATGCAATGTTGAAAAAATTTGGATGACTATCTTCTTAGAAAAATTAAGGGCAGTTTGCTCCTGACGGTTTAAACGGTTGATAGAGCTTCTCACAACAACAACAAGATAAAATACTAGCGTAGAATCAGGCAGGAAGGTTCCATAAACTACATTAAAAAAGAGGAATTTTCCTAGAATATGCATTTGATTCAGTATCATAAAATATTACCCTTTGGGCCTATACTTTTAAAGTTGGAAATCAATAAAACATGAAAAGCAAATCATGGCATAAACCCAGAGCTATGTCCAAAGTCCTTAGAACTACCATTATATTTTTCAAGATAACCAAGGGTATAATTGAAGAGGTGGGTATAATGTTGCTTAATAATTGATATTCTTGCTTCCTCATCACACTTTTTGCTCACTGACATTCTGTTGTTAAAATTAACCATGTTTTAACAGGTATGTTTTTCTGAAGTTTCTTTGTAATAAATGAATACTTACTTATTTTCAAAATAGATTATTCATTTGTGTGCTTCCTAAGATTATAGCCCACTAGATATTTCTATTTTATTTCTTATCAATACAAATCAGTGCATTGTCCTGATTTTATCATCTTCCAAACTGAGTCCTAATGATTGTAGATTATATTTTTTGCTTTGTCTTTTAAAGGTGGATATCAAACAGAATGTTACTGAATTTCAAGCAGTTTTTATCCTAAGTACTTCCTTGATAATTAGGCTTCTTATTAAAGAGTAGCTCAGGGGCTGGCCCTGTGGCTGAGTGGTTAAGTTTGCACCCTCCACTGCAGCGGCCCAGGGTTTTGCTGGTTTGGATCCTGGGCGCGGACATGGCACTGCTTGTCAGGCCACGTTGAGGCAGCGTCCCACATGCCACAGCTAGAAGGACCCACAACTAAAATATACAACTATGTACCAGGGGGCTTTGGGGAGAAAAAGGAAAAATAAAATCTTTAGAAAAAAGAGTAGCTCAAACCAACTCTATTAACGTCAAGTTCTGATGGGTCTGAAAGCTATTTTGCTATTTTTCATTGACAGAGAGAGAAATTTTGGTGGTGTGTCCAATGAAGTCTAATTTTGATATGTAATTGTTTCTAAAAAATTTGATCTAAAGAACCTACACTCTTTTCAAATATACAACATTTGATGCTGTCTCACTTTTATTAGGCAAAGGTCCCATGTAATCTGCTTCCTTGTCAAAGCCTTTTTAAAATGTAGATTGGCAATTTAGCCTCTTCTAAAGATGAGGGAAGCACAGGCTCCCTGCTTCCATTAAAAGTGAATCAAAAAATAAAATTTGTACATTGAAAAGATAATTAAACTAAGTCTGTAATTTTATACCCTTCTTCACAAAGTTTTCCTCTTTGAATAGATTATTCAAATTATTAATGCTAGTGTCAAATTACTGACCAAACAACGATTGAAACTACTTTTCTGGAATTTTTGAATGCTAGAACTTTGTGAGGATCATACATATTTTGTGTTTACATAGTTTCACAAAGGAAGAGCAATACTATAGCGAAAATTGTAAAGTATGCTCAAAGAGTTATTTATTTTGTGAGGAAGATTGGCCCTGTGCTAACATCTGTTGCCAATCTTCCTCTTTTTGCTTAAGGAAGGTTGTCGTTGAGCTAACGTCTGTGCCAATCTTCCTCTATTTAATGTGGGATGTTGTCACAGCGTGGCTTGATAAGTGGCTCTAGGTCCGTGCCCAGGATCCAAAACCTGTGAATCCTGGGCCACCCAAATGGTATGTACAACTTAACCACTACGCCACTGGGCCAGCCCCCAAAGAGTTATTTATAAGATGCCAAATGCTTATCATTTTTTTAAAAAGCATAAAACTGCTTTTCTGAATCCTTCCCATACATAAACACCACTTACAAATCTCACTGTACTTAGAATCCTTCAGGCTAACTCACTTTTGGAAAAATTGAAGGTTCACTTGGGCTTTGGTCCAATTATCATTGTTATAATGGTTGAGGATATAATCTTTTGAGGATAGCAAATGGAGGTAGGAGAGATCCTCACTGAATCAAAATTAGGAGGCATGTTAGAAGTCATCTTGTTCAACTCAAGCCGGTTACAGCTGTTCACTAGGTGAACTGTTTTATTAGTTGGCTACTCTAAGTGTGAAAAATGTTGAGTTAAATATTGGAATTTTTCTAACTTTCCTCCTTCTATTCTTGGTTCTGTCTTGAAATAACACAGAAGAAAGTATTCCTTCCACATGACAATCTTCAAATATTTAAAGATAGCTGTTATGTCTTTAGCCTTCTGTTCCTAAGGCTAAACACTGTACTTTTTATGTCACGTGTCTTAAGGGAGTTTCTTTAAGCCCCTTGTATAAGGGGTTATGTCTTTTGTGTTGTATATCGCTTAGGCACATAAATGGTGAATGTGGCTACATTTATTCTAACTGATCTCAAGTATTTATTAATTGTTAGACTCTAGTTTTGGTATCTTTAATATTTGGAGACGCCAATGGAACTTTAAGAGTGTTTGAATATTAATTACTCAGGAATACTTAAATATTAACCAATGAGTAACAGAGTGTTGGGTTTCCTCAAAGTAAACATTAGACACCCCAGAAACATTAGATGCCATTCTTTCTTAAATGATTACAAGAGGCAATAAAAAATCGAAAACAGCTTTCAAGAAACTGGGAAAAAAGGCTGGAGGTTCTATATTGATCTATAGGATGAAGATACTGTACTGACTTTGCAGGCTATTTGAGATCTAGCCTAGATCTGAGAGCACTGTTCTAGTTATGGTTCATATTAAGAATATGGATTCCTCTAGTATGGCTCACAAAATCCTAAAAGTGTAGTTAAACCTGCATAGCTAGTTTTAGGCATGGATTGTGCTGTACATATTTAGAGGTCTCCAAGCAATGAATATGTTGAAAATGAAAGAATTATAGAGGTCATGTGATCATCTAGGAGTCAAACCATTCACACACCTATACAAAAGTGACTGAATAATAATTTTTTAAAACCTGTGGGAAGGGAAGAGAGGATCTAAATGAATGCTGTTATAGGTCATATTTCTTTAGGTGACGGGAAAAATAAATCATGCGTAAGATTTGCATTTCTATGTTGGCTTAGACTATCACATTTAATCTTAACTATTAATCTTACCCAATAAACATGTACAGAATACATTTAGCATAATCATGTTTTAAATTTTTTAGAGACCCTAAGTCTACGATAGTTTTAGATAAGTTGTTGCTAATTGGGCTCATAGTTTTATTTACTTTTCTAACTTAAAATTTTTTATATTTAAGCCTGTTGGCAATTGAAATACCAAGCTCGATTTTGTCATGGCAACAGGTTTATCACTTGTCACTTATAGCCAGGTTTTTTAAAGAAGAATTGATTACTGGATGTGCTCAGATTACATTTGACTTGTGTCTATGTATATATTCGCACATGTATGCACGTGGATGGCATGGGTCAAAATGTTTCAGACTTCTTAACCCATACTGACACATGAATCTGAAGTGATTTCCTAAAGGTTTTGCTGAATTTCCTGTCCAGGGTGAATCATTTTAATGCTGTCTCATGGGTACAGGGAACCAACAGACCTACTGTTTCTTTTAAGTTACCAAAACTCATTTCCTCTGCCTCAGATAAGGTGGACCACGGTTCAATATTGGTGACTAAGGGGTTATCATGACCAATAAAATTGGAGCCAGCAGTTGCAAGTACATTTGCTGCCATGGAATAAAGAACAAATTCAGGAGCTACTCTTAAGCTTTACTGCTTTTAAGCAGACCTATGCACGGTAGGAAAAGTAAAGGCAAGATTTTTACTCATTTTTCTCTGAATGCCCAACTACATTTCTCGGAATATTTAACTGCCATAATAATATGGGTCATTTTTCTACAGAGAGGATTAATTATGTTGCTGGGTTTTACCCTAACAAGTAGTTTTCCCAATATTTTCAAAGCCCAGATCACCCGACATTAGAATAAGTGAGGTCTCTTATTAACACTTTTCTTGTCCACGGTGTAGGTATGAAAGTTTATTCTGAATGGAGGATTAAATGTGTTCCTCCTTCTTAAGCTTGATTACGGGCTTCCTTTGGCCTTTTCTCATTGCTTTTTCTTTTAAAGATTAAAATCACTCCACTCGATTTACAGCGAATCTTTGTTTTGCCCTTCCATTTAGCTAGGTTACTTCCAGATCATACACAAACTTGTGCAATCCTTACAAAAGAGAAGATAGGTGAAGACAAAACTTTCCTCACCGTTTGGTTTCAGGGGTTGTCACAGGAGAACGGAGTACGTGAAAAAGCTTTCATAACATTGGAAGAAACTTTTAAAACGCAGTTGAAACATAACTGAAAATCCGCAAGAGGGAGATGCTTGCTAAATCGCCAGAAAATAATTCCCACGAGAGACCGGAGAGATCCTAGGAGGAGCCACTGGGTCGGCCCGCGACTCAGGGAGGGAGGGAGCAGGTGTATGTAGTGGCTGGGGGCTGGTGGGGGAAGTACAGTTGAAGGGAAAAATCGGATGCGCTTCGTGACTGTGGCAGCGAAGCGTGTGCTCCGTCTAAGACCAAAAGTAGAAGGTAAGAGGGTGTCACCAAAGAGGAGCACACACTCCCACCTACCTCCCGGTAGTCCCCAAAGAAATGGGGGTGGTTCTCTTTGAGGGCACTTCCGCTTAGCAACCCCACGCGGTTGCTAAGGAGGGGCAGTAGCGGGGATGACCCGGAAGTGGTGGTGTCCATCCCTCGCTGCCTGCTTTAAGTTTGCCCTATCGGGAGTGCCGGAGTGCTCTGCGCCGGGCCGAGGGTGGGGCCAGTGCTTGTGGTTCCGGTTTGATTCCTGCCGCTCCTCGGCTCCTCGTCCTCCCCCTCCCCTCCCGCACTTCTCCTCCCTCCCATTCCAGGGAAAGAGAAGCCACCACTGCGGGTGGGTAGAGAAGCGCTTGGCGTCTCCGGGAGGGAACTGACCCCGCCCCGTTTGAGCCCCGGATCACGGCCGGACGAGGTACTCGCTGCGGCTTCAACGGGGTCCGAGAGGCTAGAGCCTGAGGGTGTGTGTGTGTGTCTGTGGGGGGTTGTGGGGGGGCCCTTCTCCGGGTCTGGGAGGGGGACGCCGAGGTCCTGGGTGGGGCGCAGGCCGTCGTATGTGTCTGTGGAGGGTTGCGGGGGTGGAATGGAGGGGCTGGGGGACACGGCTGGTGGAGAGTTTCGAGTGGCCGGATTGAGGTTGCAGCGGAGGCGCCCCCTTGGATGCAGAAGACTTCGGCCCGTTTGGACGGGGAGTTTGCCACCTGGAGGGCTTGCTCTGAAAGGGGGAGCATCCCTCCGGGACCAGAAGGAGAGCATGGACTTCGGCGGGGTGGCTGGGGAATCCCATGCTTCCGTTGTCTGCTTCCCCTGCCCACTCCGCTGGGACAGAGCTGGGCTTCGAGGGTTGTGGGGGTTGTGAGTCGGCTGGGCACCGCGGGGAGCCGCCCTTGGCAGAGCTAGGACAGAAGAGTGGGTAAGGAGACCTCCCTCCACCCAACTTCCCTGCGCTTCCTCCACTTCTTCCTTTCTTGCTCTTTTGCCCCAGCGTCGTACAGGAGCGGTACCCGCTAAGTGGGCAGGCATCACAGCGTAAAAGAAAGAGGATGGAACCGGGTTTGTTGCTCCTAAATACTTCACGTTTGGAAAGTACCAGAGTGGCATATTCAACCAAGTCTCCCAGCTCCATATTAAATCTGGTATAAATTATCTTAGAAAAGTGCAGTTCTGAAGAGCAATAAACTGTAAGCTAGTCCAGCATAGCTTTGTGTGTTAGATATGCGGGTTTATGAAAAGTAGACTGGGGGAACCGTATAGGTATAGAGGTTTAGTCGAGACATGTTGAGGCAAGCCTTTTTGAGCCTCTTTGTTACCTGTCAGTAAGCCTGACCTAGTTTAAATGAAGCAGAAAGATCCTCTTCATTTATATTTCAATCAGTCACTGAATTGTAGGTATTGTGTGGTGCTAGATGTCTCAGAATAGATATGTGAACGTTCAGAGACAAGATTCTCTTCTTTTGAGCGTATCTTTTAATCCTTTAAGGAGATAATTGTGGTCAAGTGGAAGTATTGGCTTTGAGGTAGGTAAATCTGGGATTGAACCCAGACTGCTACTGGCTAGTTGTTGATCTTGGGCAAGTCGTGGAACTTAGCAGAGATTCAGATTCTTCATAAATAAAATGAGTTAAAATTCTTACCAATATTGTAAGGGGGAGTCATGTATTTAAATAACAGCCCACTTTAAATGGAAGCATCTTTTGATTGAAAGATGAATTATCATTAATCTTACACAGTAAAGGTAGCCCACTTTTGTGGAATGAAGTTTGAGATAGGAAGGGAACTGGATAATATTTCAAGACATATGTATACAACAGAACTTTCAGTGGCTTCTGGAAATTGATCTTAAGTAGGATGAAATTCAGTTATCAGTAGTTTTTAAAACTCTTAAAAATAAAGCAGAATACGTGCATTTATTGAAATGACCAATAGTGTTTCAAAGGTTTTTCTCAGAGTATAGTATGAATTGATAAGAAGAACATTTAAAAAGTAGTGTATGTTAATCTTAATTAACATCACATGACTCTGTAAAGAAGTAAAGTTTGGGCATAAAATAGAAAGTAGTTGTACTTTTAAGATTAAAATCAGTATCAGTATTGTGACTCATCTTTAGATTTAAACGATAGCAAAACTTATAGAATTCTTATATGTATAATCTGTAAAATAAATGAAAATGGAATGGATTTCTGCCTTTAAATCATTCATGATGAGAATACAGAAATATCAGAAACACGAAGTTTTTATATTCATTTTGTAGATTTAAAATGATAGTTATAGGTAGCCTATTATATGTCAGATTTTCAGCTAATATAGTTTGCTTTTTGATGTAACTTGTAGTGAGTAATTTTTAATTTTTAAATGTACTTTATACTCAAAGTAAAAAAATCAGATAACTTGCTTTTATGATAGTTTTTGTATATGTACAAAGTTTGTAATTCAATATCACTTTTTAGAGAGGCTTATAGATTTTGCATACTTTTGAGAGAAATTTTCAAATATATTTCTTGGCCATGTCTCTATCTTTTAAACAGAGTTCAACTTTTTTTTTGTTGATAAAACTCTTCAAACTATATTTGCATGCTCTTTGAGGTAGAGATACTATTTTAAATTTTATCTGCCACTCTAGCTACATAATAGGCACCAAATAAATATTGGTCAAATTGATAAATGGATGGATAGATTTAAAATTATTAATAAAGTCTCTATACTAATTTTTTTTCTTTTGAGGACGATTAGCCCTGAGCTAACTGCTGTCAATCCTCCTCTTTTCGCTGAGGAAGACTGGCCCTGAGCTAACATCCATGCCCATCTTCCTCTACTTTATATGTGGGACGCCTACCACAGCATGGTGTGCCAAGTGGTGCCATGTCCACACCCGGGATCCGAACCAGTGAACTCCGGGCCGCCAAAGTGGAACGTGCGAACTTAACTGCTGTGCCACCAGGCTGGCCCCAATATACTATTTTTTTAAATAATTTATTTTTCCTTTTTCTCCCCAAAGCCCCCCGGTACATAGTTGTATATTTTTAGTTGTGAGTCCTTCTCCTTGTGGCATGTGGGACCCTGCCTCAGCATGGCTTGATGTCTGGTGCCATTTTGGCGCCCAGGATCTGAACCGGTGAAACCCTGGGCTGCCGAAGCAGAGTGCACGAACTTGGCCATGGGGCCAGCCTCTATACTATTTTTTAAAAAGAGTTTAAATTATGTTTTTGCTACAGTTGTAGATTTTTTGTAAGGTTATTCAACTTTCTAAATGGCCTTTATGGGAATGTAAAGTCTTTAGTGTGTTTATATATAAGCTTTTAGCTGTGCTTTCCTGGATCATTATTTCCATCCTCTTTTGAATCTCAAAGTTGAGGCCATATTGGGGCTGGCCCCGTGGCCGAGTGGTTAAGTTCGCGCGCTCCGCTGCAGGCGGCCCAGTGTTTCATTAGTTCGAATCCTGAGCGCGGACATGGCACTGCTCATCAGACCATGCTGAGGCAGCATCCCACATGCCACAACTAGAAGAATACACAACTATGTACCGGGGGGCTTTGGGGAGAAAAAGGAAAAAAAAATAAATAAAATCTAAAAAAAAAAAAAAAAAAAAAGTTGAGGCCATATTACCTTTGGTAAAGCCTTCAGAAGCTCCCATTTTTTTCCCTCTATCTTCTCATAAAACTTTAATAAACCTTTATTTTGGCCTAAGAGGGAGGATACTAGCTGTTAGAGTAAAAAGGTCTATCTAAATTGTAGGCAGCAGTGGAGACTGTTAGAGAAGATACTTTTCTCAATGACCTTTTCCACTCAAGCAAAGTATGTGGCCATTCCAAGGATCTTTGCAGTTGTTACTTGTGGAATTTGCTTGTCAGGAACTCTAAAAATGACTAAACCTTCCTTTAATATCCATCTCTTGGAGGATCTCAGAAAGTTTTAGGAAAGATTGGGAAGGTTTTTATACCATAGACTAGAATCCTATGATAAACAAAGTACGGTTAATTTTATTGGTGTTGCCAAATCAGGAGTGAAAGTTACTGTGGAAATGTTTAAAAAATGCCAGACATACTCAAACCAAATGAGTATTCTTCCAGAGTTTATTTTAAAGCATATTTCTTTTTGGAGATATGATTTGGTGTCTAATAAGGATAAGTAATCATTGTATTCAGAAAAAAAGGCTAATATCATAGACAGATTTTAGTATCATCAGTCTTGATAGAAACTGCTTCAATGGCTTCAGATAAGTGGAAGTAGATTTTCATGAAAGAACGTTAGAATTTGTGGAATGGTAGTTTTTCTCCTTTAACAGCTAACTTGTCGCTACTCATTTCTGCCTAATATAGAAACTTTGAGAATCTGGGAGAAAAAAAAAGAGTGAATTTACTTTAAAACTACCATTTTAAGTTTTGTAGATTACTTATTTGGAGAGCTAAATTGGATTTTGACATTATATTGGGATTGTGTTCAAGATGGACTCAGGAAAAAAAATTAGATGCCATCTGTTTCAGATTCCTTATTCCCTCACCCCTTCATGTTTTGTGGCTTTGAATTCATCAGATTACTTTTCAAAAATAAAAATCCTCAGTAGATTTAGGTTATATAATTTCAGCTATATCAGTGAACACATAACTAAGAGAACTTGCAGTTTTATATTGAGTTACACAGGAAGATCACAGGCATTGGTTAAAAGTAATTGTTATTTCAAACTATCTGAACATTAGGTAGCTTCATGCATCTTTGTCATCATTTACTTATTAAACCATTCTTGTCAGTAGTGCTTACCATAGTCTATTTGTTGGTGGAAGTTGCTAAAAAAATGGGTTATGAAGATACAAGGTAAATCTTTTTTTCCTTTGATGTCACAATCAGAAGAGAAGCTTTTGCTGAGGATTTTTAATTTAGTGGTAAGTCCACTTAAACTTACTCTTTCAGTAGTGAGTTTTGCCTCTCCTTATGCCAGTTGCTATAGTTTTCATCTGAATGGTACTACACAGTTCATAGGGCACATAATTGTCACTTTTCATTTTGGATCTTAATAAATCCTGAGGACAGGCTTTTGGGTTTACTGAGCTGGAAAAGACCAGAACTTGTTCAGGTTACAGTAGTTGGCACCTGCTATGGATCAGGAAGACCCAAGCATTTTTGAGAAACTATAAAGTAGAACTAGTGTGGTAACCCAGGAATGGCCTGAAGAGAGAGCCATCTGGATAGAAGAGAGCCATGCTTTGTCGCAGCAGGAATGTTCTGGTGATGTATAAAGACAGATGGAGTACCTCTATACTGCTGTAGTCTCTTCCTTACCCAGAAGCTCCAAGTGGGCAGTGTAGCTATGGCAGGGGCTGGGATGTCATGGATGGGAATTGTTCTTCAATAATCACTCACCCATCACAATGGAGGCATAGACATACTGAGGAAAGGGATAGTTTCTTGGATTCTGCCTGGGCCAGAGAAGCTGAGTGAACAGGTAGCCATTGCCCTTGCCATCAAAGAGGACTTGGTACAACACCTCTGGATGCTGGGTAAGCCTTTCAGAATGCTACAGTTTGATGTCTGCATCAAAATGCCACAGAAATTTCCCAAGGAACAGTGGCATTGGACCCACATTGATTTCTGTAGCTTACATATTCTAACTTTTTAACCTAGAAAAAGGGGTGTTGAGGACTTTTGGGCCTCTGAATGAAAGTACCATACCGTTATGTCCGTCTTTATAAATTTATAAATATACTTTAATTTGTCTGGTGGCATTAATGAATAATGTGAAAAAGTTTTGTGGTTTTTTTTTGAGGAAGATTAGCCCTGAGCTAACTGCTGCCAATCCTCCTCTTTTTGCTGAGAAAGACTGGCCCTGAGCTAACATCCGTGCCCATCTTCCTCTATTTTATATGTGGGACGCCTGCCACAGCATGGCTTTTGCCAAGCGGCACCATGTCCGTACCTGGGCCCACGAAACCCGGGCCGCCGAAGCGGAACGTGGGCTCTTAACTGCTGCGGCACCGGGCTGGCCCCCTGAAGAAGTTTTAAGTTGTTTTTTGTGTGTGTTCTTGAGTGTCCATGATAATCACTGAATCTCATTTTAGTTCCTCAGGCTAAATTGCTAACCATAGCTGAGGTTAGGTAACTTCCCAGCTGAATTTCTTATTTCCTAGAGATCCCTCTCTGATGTAGATGCTAGTGAGCATGGATATGTCCAATGCCAGGAAAAAGGCAAGGGGATTAAAGTGAATGTTTTTAATTTAAATTTATTTAAAGTGAACTTTTTTTCTTTACTAGAATTTCTGTAGTCTAAAGTACCAGTATCTACTCTTTGAGATTGTGGGTACCCAGTTTTTTAAAAAATTGACTTTATTTTTTTGAACAGTTTTAGATTTATAGAATAATTGAGCAGATAGAGATTTCCATGTCTCTCCATTACTACATAACTCCTCTTCCCATTTCCCCTATAATTAACATCTTGAGTTAGTGTGGTACATTAGTTACAATTAATGAACCAATATTGGTACATTAACTATAGTCCATAGTTTTCATTAAGGTTCATTCTTTGGGTGTTGCAGTTCTGTGGGTTTTAACAAATACATATTAACATGTATCTACCATTATAGTTTCATACAGAATAGTTTTACCACCCTAAAAGTTCCCTGTGTTTTACCTATTCATCCCACCACTCCTTCCCCCAGAGTCCCTGGCAACCACTGACCTTTTTACTCTCTGGTTTTGCCTTTTCCAAAACTTTGTATTGGAATCATATAGTATGTAGCCTTTTTAGACTGGTTTATTTCACTCAGTAATATGCATTTAAGTTTCCTCCATGTCTTTTTGTGGCCTGATAGCTCATTTCCTTTTATTGCTGAGTAATTTTTCACTACGTGGATACATTACAGTTTGTTTATCCCTTCACCTGTCTTTTTGTGGCCTGATAGCGCATTTCCTTTTATTGCTGAGTAATTTTTCACTACGTGGATACATTACAGTTTGTTTATCCCTTCACCTATTGAAGGGCGTCTTGGTTGCATCCATTTTTTTGGTGATTATGAATAAAGCTGCTGTACACTTGCATGTGTAGTTTTGTGTGGACATAAGCTTTCAACTCCTTTGGGTAAATATCTAGGAGTGTGATTGCTGGATCGCATGGTCGGACTGTGTTTAATTATGTAAGAAACTGCCAAACTGGTTTCCACAGTGGTTGTACCGTTTTGCATTCCCATCAGCAATGAATGAGTGTTCCTGTTGCTCCACATCCTTGCTAGAATTTGGTGGTGTCAGTTTTTTGTAGTGTAGCCATTGTAATAGGTGTTTTAATTTGCAGTTCCCTAATGACATACAATGTTGAGCACTTTTTTATGTGTTTATTTGCCATCTATAGTCATGTGTTGCTTAATGTTAGGAATTCGTTCTGAGAAATGTGTCATTAGGCAATTTTGTCATTTTGTGAACACCGTAGAGTGTACTGAAGCGGAATCAAATTTGCCACCCCAAAATGTATCTGTTTAACATGAGGATTATTTTAGGCTGCTTATTTTTAATAAACAATAGACTCAGAAAGTTTTTCTTGTTACCTCCCCTTTAACTGCCTAAAAGAATTCAGATAAAAAAACCTGTTTCAGGAAACGCGCTATCACCTTAGCATAACATGAATTAGGTGGTAGACAGGGAGGAACCTAGGAAACCCTGTTTGTTGGGCTCCCCTCTGTGTTCTTCTGTTTCTGTGTAGCCAAACAAATGCTTGTTTTCCAAATGTTTGTTCCTTTTCACCTGCTTGTGAATTGCTTTCCTTCCTTTGAAGTCCCTGACTCTCTCCACCTCCAACATCTTTTTTTATTTTTGAGGAAGATTAGCCCTGAGCTACTGCCCATCCTCCTCTTTTTGCTGAGGAAGACTGGCCCTGAGCTAACATCCATGCCCATCTTCCTCTATTTTATACATGGGACGCCTACCACAACATGGCTTTTTGCCAAACAGTGCCATGTCTGCACCCGGTATCCAAACCAGCGAACCCCGAGCCACCGAGAAGCGGAATGTGTGCACTTACCCGCTGCGCCACTGGGCCGGCCCCTCCAACGTCTTTTTTTTTGTCTTTAGCTGAGGATGGTATTTAAGGTGAGGGCTTCAGCCATTTTGGCTAGTTATTTGGTTTTCCTGGGTTTCTTCCGTGTATACATGTTATTAAACTTTTGTTTTTCTTCTGTTAGCCTGTCTCATGTCAAGTTAATTCTTAGACCAGCCAGAAGAACCTAGAAGGATAGAGGAAAATTTCTTCCTCCCCTACAGTACTTACACAAACCTAGATGGTATATCTTACTACAAACCTAGGCAGTGTGGTACTAATCTTATGAGACCACCGTCGTATATGTGGTTTGTCAATGACTGAAACGTTATGCAGCACCTGTCTGTATATATCTTCTTTGGTGAGGTTTCTCCTTAGATCTTTTGCCCATTATTAAATTGGGTTCTTTGTTTTCTTATTGTGGAGTTTTAAGTGTTCTTTGTGTATTTCAGATAGAAATCTTTTATCAGGTATGTGTTTTGCCAATATTTTCTTGCAATCTGTGGCTTATCTCTTTATTCTCGTAACAGTGTCTTTCATAGAACAAAAGTTTTTCATTTTAATAAAGCCCAACTTATCAAGTTTTTCTTTCGTAAGGCATACTTTTGGTGTTTTATCTAAAAACTCATTGTCAGACTCAGGGTCACATAGATTTTCTCCTATGTTATCTTCAAGAATTTTTATAGTTTTGCATTTTACATTCACATTATATTCACATGAGTCCTAAGATACATTTTGAGTTAATTTTTGTGAAAGTTTTGAGGACTGTGTCTGTATTCATATTTTTGCACAAGGATGTCCAATTGTTTTAAAAAATGTTTCCTATTCTAGAAATGTTAATGTACTTTTTAAAAAGACTTTATTACTTTAGAGCAGTTTTAGGTTCACAGCAAAATTAAGAGGAAGGTAAGGGGCCGGCCCTGTGGTGCAGCGGTTAACTTCGCACATTCCGCTTCTTGGCGGCCTGGGGTTCACCAGTTCGGATCCTGGGTGCGGACTTGGCACTGCTTGGCACGCCATGCTGTGGTAGGCATCCCATGTATAAAGTGGAGGAAGATGGGCACAGATGTTAGCTCAAGGCCAGGATTCCTCAGCAAAAAAGAGGAGGACTGGCAGTAGTTAGCTCAGGGCTAATCTTCCTCAAAAAAAAAAAATAAAGAGGAAGGTAAGAGATTTCCCATATACCCTCTGCCCTCACACATGAATAACCTTCCCTATTATCAACATCCTCAATCATAGTGGTACATTTATTACAATTCATGGACCTACATTGACACATCATAATCACCAAAGTCCATAGTTTAAGTTAGGATTCATTCTTTCTGTTGTATATTCTGTGGGTTTGGGAAATGTATAATAACATCTATCCATCATTATAATATCATACAGAGTGTTTTCACTGCCCAAAATCCTCTGCTCTACCAGTTCATCCCTCCCCCCAACCCCAAGCCCAGGGCATTACTGTTTTTTTAGAAACTAAAATGATAAAATAATTTATGGGGGTGGTTTTGAAAAGAGATTTTCCTAGCATTCTCAGATGTGATTAGAAGTATTGTTGAGAGTCTGAGTTTCCCTTTCAAAAAGATAGATATTAGGTCATTAGGTGTTAATTGACAGGTACTTAATTCTTTGTTTGAGATATGTAATTAGGCATTAGGAAGTGTGAGCTAAATGTGATACTGGCCATGTCACAGTTGCAGGTAGTAAAGGGGCTTGATAGGAGACCTAAATTCAGAGTTTTTGAACTATCACAAACTTAAGGTCCTTTGCCACTTGTCGCTTGTGTTTTGTTGTTGTGCAGATTTCTTGGCCACCTTCTCCAGTGTTTGCTTCTTCCTATTACACTTGTTGAAGACTATCCAGAAGCTTGAGCTGGCAAAGACTCAGTAGGAAGAGATGTCATGCGTACTGCTGTCGTTGCCTGATTATTTCCAATTGTGACTCAGGGGGGGAATATCTATTCTAAAAGTAATAAAATGCTGTCCTGAGACACTATTTCTCACATAGCTTAAGTAGTAATTGTTAGCTAGAATCCTCTTTTCAGTTGCTTTTATGACTGTCCTGGACTTCTAGGACACCTTCTACTTTCCAAAATTATTTTCTTAATTAGTATTGTGACACTCAAATATTTTGGTCATCTAATGTGTGATGTAAAAATTGTTTAATAGTTTCACTTTTGGATTTTGTTTGCTTTTTTACCTAGTTAAATAACAACAGACAAAGAATAATCTGTTTCTGTGGAAGCACTCAGGTTTTCCAGAGATAGATGCTCTCCAAATCAATCAATACATAAGCTTACTTTATCTTTAATAGGATCCATCTGGCTAATGCCTGTGTTTCATGAGTTTCAGAGATTATGGAATCATAAAGCTAGAAAAACATGGAGATGGTTTAGACTCTCTCATTTTACAGCTGAGACTACTTAAGTGCAGAGATGCTAAGTGACTTGCTCAAGATTGTATAGCTAATGAGTCAGAC